GATCCACCGCAGAAAGACTGTTAACATCACATGCAGATCTACTTTAAAAAAAGGATTTTCAGGCAACAAGCTGCAGACACAGATTTCACTTGCACTGCCATCTGGTATGCTGAAAATCCTCTTTAAAGTATATATTTAAAGCATTGCTCCGCCTTCCTCGGGAAGTTTGCTACTGGAAGGCATGGTGGCCATACATATTTCTGACTAGCATGTCTGGTCCTTGTAGTACATGTGACTAGACCTGCTATGGGGTAACTGAAGACACCTAAACTGCTATGATGGCATGCATTCTTAGGGTTCATGTACACTGCAGCTGATAAACTCACGTTTAGGAGCTTTTCTGCGTTTTTTTTTTCAGCAGCCCCTGAACTCTCCCTAATGTTTTCCTATGTGTCCATGTACACTATGTTGTTTACAGTCATTTACAGGCAATTGAGTTTACAGTTGTTTTTCTGAACGCACCAAACTTGCGTTCAGGAGTAGATTTTATCAGCGTTTCAAACGTCAAATGCTTGTAGACGTGTGTAAACGCGGCTAACCGCATTTATAAGCGGTTTTTAACTGTTCCATGTCCAAATGCTGTCCAGAGCTATTTTTCATCATCAGAAATGCATACAAAGCGTTTTCCATGTATTCCAATGGACCCGGTACACCAGCGCAGTCAGTTCCAGGTTTCGCGTGAAGGAAAAAATGGTAGAACGTGACGCATTATGCTCATGATGGGATCCATAATGAATACAACCAGAAAAGACAGGTCTTCTCAACACATACTGCTCTCTCTGCATCTGCTCTCTCTATTTCTCTCAAAATATCTGAAATAGTTCATTTTTTACTGTTTTTCAGTGCATTCTGGGCATTTTGGAAGGTCTCCTGATGTTATGTTTAAAAAACGCTTCTAAACGCAAACGCTCATAAACACAAATAAACGTGGTGTGCAAACGCGGCTAAACAGATGTTTTTTAACCTACGCTTTCCAGCAGTCAGTTTCCATCGTTCAGAAGTGTTTTACAAACGTCCCACGTACATGAGCCCATAAACAAAGCTCTAGGCTTCTATGTCTACAGCTGTCTATCATGATCCATAAATTTTTATTGGATGTCAGTGGATACTATAATGCTGGCCATAAACCATACAATCTGATTGTACAACCTCTGTACATTCTCCTCTATGTAATATGAGGACAAACCTACACAATCCATGTGAGAAGAATCACGTTAGGCTACATAGCTGATGGTATATGTAAAGATGATTGTACAATCAAAGTATATAGTGTATGGTCAGCCTAAGAGCCTACAGCCTCCACAGAACCAGTGTGGCAATAAACTCTACGTATAATGAGGCTGATTTTATTTCTCTCTATCAGATTTATCTGATGAGTGCGCGTTGGGTATTAAATCGAGTTGTGCAATGATAATTCATCACCTTGAACTCGCTGTGCCCTCGCCTCATGTGCCTAATGCACGCCCCATCCTCGGCCGCCAAGGTGGAAGCTAATGGAATCTAATGTACGACTGAAAATAATTCAATATCGTGCATGCAATTTTTCAATCCGTCTGCAAATCATCTCGTAGCTGCGTTCGGCCTGCTGCTTCCTAATGCAGCTGTCACATCCCAATCATCAGGCTTTGAAATCTGGAAACGGGTGCAAAAAAAAAAAAAAAAAAAAAGACGCTTGGAGCGTATGAAGACGCGTGAAGCCATTGAGAGCCTGAGGGATTTATTAATAGAGCGGGGTACATGAGGGTCACTTTTCCATCGTCTGTGCACATGGGAATAGTCATGGCAGGGACGAGGCCTTCACATCCTAACTCCTAGAGAGGAGACATCCTCTCCACCCCCTCATACACTCACATACATACACCGACTGTATAGCAGGCAGGTAAACCTGGGGGCCTGGACATGGGGCCCACAGCCCCTCTGCGGGGCCACATTTTCTCACTGCAGTTTGTAAGTGTTTAAAAAGGGAAACAAACAATGGATAGGGATGTGTGAAGTGTGCCAGGCGGTAATAGGCATGGATGAAATATTAACATATCACTGGTGTCATTCATGTCCTGGAAGAAGCTGGGTGCCTCATAGGAGTGACAGGAAGCATGTACATTCATATAGGGCTACTACACTACATATACATACATGTGTAACTGCGTGCATGGAATATATATATATATATCTTACTATAGCTGAATACATGGCTGGTACACTGCATATACTTACTATACAAACACATACCTAGACTAAATGTACACATGTGAATGTGTGTATACAATATCATGTATATCTATCTGTATTACTATATCTATATACATGGCTACCACACTACATATACTGTACCTGCCTACACATACCTATAATGTGCACATATGTAACTGTGTACATATAATAAATATCTATGAGTATATTACTATATCTCTATACATGGCTACTACTACACTATAAATACATACTACACATGCTATAATATACTGTGTATATGTTTTATATCTATGTGTACATTACTATATCTATATACCTGGCTACTGCGCTACATATACATGCTATACATACACATACCTTTACTATACTGTATGTATAACTCTGTATATAATATATAGCTATATGTGCATTACTATATACACATGGTTACTACACTGCATATACATTCGATACATACACATACCTATGCCATTTGTACATATTTAACTGTGTGTATGTAATGAATATTTGTGCGTATTACTATATCTATTTCCATGGCTACTACATTACATATACATACACATACTGTACCTATAGTGTTCGAATGGTCAGTCCGCCCTGGGCGTGTATGTAATATAATATTTATATACATGGCTACTACACTACATATGCATACTATACATACATATACCTATATCAATGTACATATGTAACTGTGTGCATATAATATATATCTATGTGTGTACATTTCAAAATGTTATACTTGTCTACTGCGCTATATATAGATATATATATATAGATATATATAGATATATATATACTATACATACCTATACTATATGTACATATGTAACCATGTGTATTTAATAAATATCTATGTGTTTGTATTATATGTATATCAAAGCTAATACACTACATACACTGTACATACACATAGCTATACTAAATGTACATATGAAACTTTGTGTATATTATATATCTATGTGTGTATTATAATATCTATATACATGGCTACTACACTACATATACATACACATGCCTACACAAATTGTGAATATGTAACTGTGCATGTGCACTACTACATGTATATCAAAGCTACTACAGTACATATGCTGTACATACTATTCCTTTACATACCTATACTATACGTAGATACGTAACTGATATCTATATATATATATATATATATACATATATATATATATATATATCTTTGTGTGTTATAATATCTATATACATAGCTACTACAGTATTTACACATACAATACATACGCATACCTATAGTAAATATTTAATGACACATGGCTACTATTGTACATATACATTCACAGACTATACCTCCATATGCTATAGATATGTAAGGATTTCACCTTTCCTGGGAACAAAATACCAGCCTTATGATGTCCTTCCTGTGAATACCATGGGCAACAAGTCTCTTTTTTTATAGCAACCAGGCCGGCAAAATTCCAGCCAGTTTGGAAACCCTATATATAGTATATGTATTGAAAAGCATGGATATAGTCTTGCATGTGGAATATTTGTCTGTATACTTGTAATTAATATATATATATATATATGTACACACACAGGCACTGTATAGCAGTTTATTCCCCATGCATTGCTTTCTACCAGGCAGCCCACATCCTAGCAATGTGCTGCAGCTGTGGGCACCAACCTTCCCACTGTAGGATGCTGTGTACCCCGCATGTCATGACCCCCCACCTATGACCCCTGACTCACAATCCACCTTGCCCCAAACTTGCACAAGTCACCTGCATGTCCCCCCCCACACACACACACCACCCACCAGTTCCTATGTAGAGACATGCAAGGCACTGCCTATTGGGGAAATAGAGGAGAATAATCCATGGTAACATTGCAGTTAGGAAGAATGGTACTCACCACCCCCAAGAGAAAGAAGAGGAAATCCAATGGATCAGAGTGGGTCTCAGCCCACCAGCCACCAGAGTGGCTCCAAAAAAAATAAAAAAAAATAATGTGTAGAAATGCAAATTGGAAAAAAAAAAAAATTAGAGAAGCAGATCCAAATGAAGGAGAGTCCCTGCCGGAGATCTGGCTGGTCAGGGTGCTGATGGTCAGTGGTGATGGGGTGGTGATGGTCAGGATGCTGATGGTCAGGTTGCTGATGGGTCATGGGGTGCTGATGGTCAGGTTGCTGATGGGTCAGGTTGCTGATGGTCAGGATGCTGATGGTCAGGATGCTGATGGTCAGGATGCTGTGCACACACTGCAACACGTGAGTCTGTCCCTGCACATCCACATCACCCTCTGATCACAAGAAGGTTACTCAATGATCTCACTCTCAGCAAATGAAAAAAAAAAGGACAGATAAAAAAAATCTATTGCATTTATTCCCAGCGCCGTATATGGCAGAGACTCGTCACCCAGCCAGGCTGCTTGTATGGAGTGTCTCTGCTAGCTCTGTTTCTATGGATATCGGCTGTCAATCATGCGGTGCGCCTCTGCTCCGGAGATTACGGTAATGGCTGATTTTAGCACAGGAGCCACAGAGCTGCAGCTCGATGGAGGCACACAGGGCACTTCCACTGAGGACTGAGGATGGGGGGGAGGGGGACTGTGCCATGTAATGTGTCCTATAGGGGGGGGAGTTATGAGTGGGAGGTGTGCAGGCAGCACATGATGTGCACAGGAGTGGGATGCTGATTTCTGTGTCTGCAGGTGAGTGGGAGAGTCCTGTGCAATATGCAGCTCATCTACCTAGCTGTACATGGTGCAAGGGAAGCACAGCTGCTCTTGTATGGGAAGATTGGCTTTGCACTGGTCCCAGCACACATGACAAAGTCTTACTAAACCCACCACAGTACAATCAGTCTGTATATGCAGTAAAGCATGCTTGTTATACTCACTGTGGAGCCTAAGGGGTTAATCCTCTGTATTATGTAAAAAGGCTGTTTGATCCTGTCTTCTCTGATCCCCTTCTTCTAATGTCCCCAATCCATTGCCTGATAGAACAGAGCCCTGGGGGCAAGCTGCACATGCTCAGTGTAGTGTATATTGCTAGAGAGGTTTTTGAGGGGGGGGTTCTCTTGGAGGAGTGATGCACAGGGCACCCAGCAAAGAGCCAATCAGCACTGTCTAGACAGATGGTCAGGTGTTATGCAGCCTCATTGGACAATCAGTGGAGAATGAAAACTCCTCCTGCAAGCTGTAACCAATACTCTGTTGGACACTGATAGAAGTCACAAGACTGCTCTAACTTCTAATGAGAAAAGGTATTTAGCAGTTTATATTTACTATAATAACTGCATTTCCATGTTCTGTGTACTGTGGGAGACCAGATATAGTGAATGAAGGGCCCTGGGTTTAGTAACACTTTAACAAAAGATGATCTCTTTTTTCTTTTTGAAGGTGAACTCTATACTTTCATATAGTCTTCAATAGCTACAAAGGTTATACAGTCACTTTGTGTGAAGCAGATGCCTTAGCAAACCAACATATTACCTTGTAAAAGTAGCCGTGACATCATCACTGTGTTGGAAATAGCCTGTGCAGAGAGCAGAGCTGTGGGAGTGGCCCAGCAGGCTCCACCCTCTACAGGTTGCCTACAGAAATCTACAGAAGGGCGGAGACCAGACCGGTCACCCTGCACAAGTAGACAGAGCAACAATGACAGGTCTGTATTACAGGAAGCTTTCGCATCTGGAAGGAACACACAAGGCACAAAGATTCAAGGAAGAATACACATGCCACTTGTATTTAGACAATAGTAGCTTATTACAGAGTTCACCTTTAATGAATGCCAGGCAAGCAGCTAAAGACACAGAAGGTATTCTAACTGCCTAAGGATGTGTATTTCTGTCCATCCAGGCTGGTGGTTTACACAGCTCTGCCACACAGCATAGCCCTGTCTGGAAGGGCTGGAGACCTGTTTTTTCTCTGCTGCGGATCAGTAACACTTAGGGCTAGTTTACAGTAGTGTTGCTCCCTGAAGAGCAAGCCACATTCAGATCCCAACTCTGGGCTATGCTGTACAAAAACTTCAAAGGTCTAATACCAGGTCAGACTGGGTACTTACATTTCTTAAATACATTTAAAGGAGAAGTGTGGGAAATCAACAAAAACAAATACACATGCTCACCTATATGGCTGCAGCATCGGTCCCAGAGACCGCTAATTGCTCAATTCATGGCCTGCTCTGAGAAGAGAGCCATGACTCTCAGTGATCAATCAGTGGAAGCTGAGAAGCTGAGCCAACTGCTGGTCAGGCATCTGGGTGGATTCCTATGTTAAAGTCGGGATCCTTCCAGAGATTGGACCGGCTCTGTGATGTCAACCAACAGAAGGCTTTAGCCAAATCTAGGTCATAAGAGTGCAGAAATAAAGGTACCCCTGTGACCCAGAAGAGATGTCTGACCAAAAAAGCTTTGCCTCTCTTTTAATGATCATCTAAAGCAGGGTTTCTCAACCAGGGTTCCTCCAGAGGTTACCAGGGGTTCCTTGAGCAATAAGCAAAGTTCCCACTGACACCATTGATCTTTTTAGCAATCTGTAAGGGGTCATTCTTCCCAATGACCACAAGTGTAAAGGGCATTCTTCCCACTGACCATCACATTAACGTCTCATGAGTTGTAGATATAGTCATGTTTAGCAGGGGTTCCCCCCGAAAGCGGAAAGTTATTTCAAGCGTCCCTCTGCCTTGAAAATGTTGAGAAAGGTTGTCCTACACAGATTATCTCTGCTGAGGGGAAGGTCAGCCAGTCTGGACTCTAAGAACACTTCCCGTCATTTTTAGCAGGGGTTCCCTAAAACCGGAAAGTTATCTCAAGGGTTCCTCTGCTTTGAAAAGGTTGAGAAAGGCTGATCTAAAGATTTGTGCACAGCCTCTACCTTCCACAATATGAATCTGCACTTAATTTCGGGTCTTTATTTAATTTTTCCCCTTTCGTCTTTCAGGACAGCACCTTGAGAGACCTCGGCTCCTCCCCACCTGAGGAAACACCTCCACCCAAAATAAAGCCTCTGACACTCCCCTACGACCTCAGTTTTGGTGTTTCCTCCAGTGTGGAGACATCTGCGGAGGCCTCTCCAGGTGCAGTCAGGGGACAGCGAGACCTGGTGGTTTAGGGTGGAGACTGTGCACCAGGCGTCTAAGCAGAAGTGCCCGTCATGTAAGGCGACCCTAAAAGATTCTTGGAAAAAGGTGCTATGTGGGCCCTGTATTGAGGGATTAGTTAGGGAGGAGATTCCGCCACAGGGGGACCTGGTTAAATCAGTTAGAGAACTGACTAATACCTTTGATTCCTTCAAATCGCTAGTTGAGAATTTGGCTTCATCCCAGGCCGCGCCCCGTCCCCCCCGGCAGGTTCTTCCTTCAACTAGTCGAGGGACGGAAAGCCAGGAGGCTGTGGAGTGCGAGCCATCCCTGGGCTCCCAGTCCGAGGAGGATTCCGAAGGGGAGGGCCCCTCAGACAAACCCAGAGGCCCCTCTAGATAGAAGTTGTCCCTGGAGGAGGTTGAGGACTTGTTGGGGGCTATCTGTGCCACTCTGGACATCTGGTTGCACGACCAGATGTATCAGGGCATGGAAGAGCAAAAATGTAGGGTTTTTCCCATCCACGAGGTATTAGTTGATATGATTAAAAAGGAGTGGCAGGATCCTGAGAGGAAGCCTTTCTTCACTAGATCCCTTAAACGCAGATTCCCATTCGATAAAGACCCGTTCGCTTTGTGGAATAAGAATCCCAGGTTGGACGCTGCGTTTTCCCAGATAGCTAGGAGGATGGACTTGGCTTTTCAGGATATGGGGGTTCTACCGGACAGTATGTACAGGAGGGCAGATTCCCTCCTTAAAAAGCCCTGGGACTCTACTTTGTCCAATTTAAAGCCCGCCATGGCCACTATGGTAGTAGCCAGAAACATGGAATACTGGCTCACGCATTTGCAGACGCATATTGTGACTGATTCTCCTAAGGATAGGATCCTGGCATCTTTTCAGACGTTACTATGGGGGTAGGCTACATTGCGGAAGCTTCGGCGGACTCAGTGAGGTTGTCAGCTACGTCAGTGGCCCTTACCAATTCGGCCTGTAGGGCACTCTGGCTCAAGACATGGCAGGGAGACATTGCCTCTAAAGTTAAGTTATGTGGCATTCCATTTACAGGGGATCTCCTGTTTGGCCCAGGGCTGGAGACGGTGTTAGATCGCACGGCGGACAGAAAAAAAGTATTTTCCCCTTAAGCGAAAACTGCAGGAGCAGGGGGGAAGGAAGTTTTGTACCCAAAAGAGGATACAGGTCCTTAGGCTAGAGGGTCAGAAAAAGCCAAGGGGGCAGAGAGGTAGGGGAAAAGGAGGAGCGATTTCCGTCCTCCTGAACAGCCCCAGAAGCCGCAATGACTTGGTTCCCCCGGTGGGAGGAAGATTGGGGGTCTTCCTCCCACAAGCAGAGATCTCCAGCCTCTTTGTATTAGGCATCAGGGGGTACCACCGCAGCGCAGGTTTTTGGTAATGAACCTGCCCAGGTGTCCACAAAAGGCATCAACTTTGTTCGCTTCACTACGGGAGTTAGAGGAGCAGAATGTAGTGGTAAAAGTCCCCGATGCAGAGGTGGGGGGGGGGGGGGATTTTTTACTCATGTTTTTGTGGTCCGAAAACCATCAGGAGCTTACAGGTTAATTCTAAATCTGAAGCCCCTGAACAAAACTATCAGGTACAAGAGGTTTCGGATGGACTCAATTTTACAGTCAGATCCCTGCTTCCGCCAGGTTCGTTCCTAGTCTCGATAGATTTAAAGGATGCTTATCTGCATGTACCCATCGCGGAAACGTGCCAGATGTTTCTCAGGCTAGCAGTTCAGTGTCTGGGGGGGACGCGTCACCTGCAGTTTCGAGCCTTGCCTTTTGGACTCTTCAAGGATCTTCACAAAGTTTATGTCCGAGGTGCTGGTTCCACTTCGTGTGAAAGGAATTTCAATTGTGGCCTACCTAGACTATCTTCTTTTGTTCGCAAGCTCGGAGGAGCAGCTGTCACGGGACATAGCCGTGGTGAAGAAACATTTGGAGAGTTTGGGCTGGCTGTTAAACCTGGCCGAGTCCAGTTTGATTCCAGCCCAGAGGATGATATATCTGGGCTATATACTGAATTCTACCTGTCAGAAAACCTTTCTAACTCTAGAGAAGCTCTTCAAGTTAGACTGAGGAATCAGGTGGTTACTAGAGAGCCAGGGGGTATCGCTGAGCTGGCAATGTCAATTTTGGGTCTGCTAACCTCATCCATTCCGGCGGTACAATGGGTGGGGTTACATCTACGTCCCCTCCAGCTGTTCATTTTGAACATCTGGGGACTGGCAGCAGACGTCGTTAGACTCCTGGGTGCGGATTCCCTCTAGGGTAAAGAGATCCCTTTGGTGGTGGAGGAAGGCAGCCAACTTGACCCAGGGGTTACTTTGGAACTTTCTGGTGGTCAGGGAGATCACAACTCGAGCACCCAGGGGTTGGGAGTGCACCTGGGGGAATCTGTGGTACAGGGCGCTTGGTCTTGCGAGGAGAGAAAGGAATCCTCAAACTGGAAGGAACTCAGGGCAGTCTGGAAGGCCCTTTTTTCCTTCCAGGACTTGATTCAGGGCCGACACATTCGCGTCCTTTCGGACAATTCGACCGTGGTAGCCTATGTGAACAGGCAGGGAGGAACACAAAGCAGGTCCCTATGGGTCCTGACTGTGGTGCTGCTGTCATGGACAGAGGCAAATCTAGCCTCCTTATCTGCCGTCCACCTGAAGGGGGAGCTAAATCAGATAGACGATTTTCTCAGCAGGCGGCAGTTGAGAGAATCAGAGTGGGTTCTCAATGGGGAGAACTATAAAACCATCGTAAAGGAATGGGGGTCCCCAGCCATAGACCTGTTTGCGTCAGGTCAGAACAACAAGGTCCCAGTGTTCTCACTAAATCGGTGGGATGGGGCTCGAGCAGTGGATGCGCTGGCGCAGAAGTGGGATTTTCCCCTATGTTATGCCTTTCCCCCCGTCGCCTTGCTGTCGGCAGTATTAAAAAAATTCAGAAAAGAGCGGACTTCTCTGATTTTAATAGCTCCATATTGGCCCCGACGAGCATGGTTCTCGACGCTGGTGACCTTAGCAATTTGTCCGCCTTTGGTATTACTGCTTCGGAAA